CCCCAAAACCCCAAAACCCCACCGTTAAATTTAAAGGCCAAATCTATAAAAAAATAATTAATAAAATTAAACTTAAACATAAATTAGTATCCAATGGTAGAACAAGGCTTTAATTTCTTTGACAAATTGTTTCGATCTGGTAATCTATCAGCAATTCAAGAAGATAATTCTAATACTAAGCCAAAAAATTCCTATTATCAGAATCAATCAAAATTAGAATTAATAGGTTAAAATAACAAGATCTATTGTCCTCATATTATGGACCTAGATACCCTGAACAAAATGCTCCGACTTTCATACCCTGACCTCTCAGCAAGAAAGATTAAATCTGAACAATACTCACTTATTAGAGAATGAATCATGTGACTACACCAAGCAATATTCCTATTCTTACCCGAGACTATTCAATCCGCAGAGATGAGGGTTTCTTTCGAAAGCAACCCAGAAAAATACCCATATTATCTTGAAACAGTAAACATAGTCAAGATGTTCACTGGGCCAGGAAATGGTTAGCCAGCATTTGAGCTACTTAAACATTTCGAGTCAACTACCAAGTATCTATTAAGATAAAACTGGGTAAAGGGGAAAACCAAAATTGAACTTAACTCACTCATAAGTGAAGATGCACCTATAATTAATGTCCAGACATTATTTTACTTAGTTTAAAAGATAGAATCTGAGGGAAAGTAACAAGAAGTTGTAGCAGAATCTATATTGGTAAAAAGGTTTTTCCACCAAATGAAAAAAGATTATGAAAAATAATATAACAACACTGAAAAAGCGATAAATACCTCAACTCAATATGAATGTGAAGAGAATTTCAATAAAAAGGTGGGAAATGAGGAAATCAATTCAACTAGCCATGGGATGATCCAGTAAAAAATGACTACATATGCTGTATCTCAAAACTTCAAAAGCCAGTCATAAATCAAGTAATCTACATCTGCAAAGTAAACCTAGGATCAATTACAGATTACCAAGCCCCAGGAAAACGAGAAACTAGCAATAAACTCTATCGATCAACATTACCGAAAAAAAAGAGATAACATTAGCCAAGAGTAAATGGAAGACGCTAATCTTGAAGACCAAAGGCGACAACGGAGGAAAATATGAAATCAGAGAATCAGTGAAAGCTCTATAAATATTTGGTTTGTTGGCTTCACCATTAAACTGAAAGCATGAATAATTTTTAAAAAATCCTTAAATCTTAATTTTATTATTCTAAGGATGAGTTCTCGAGTGATAGTATTGCCATTTATATTTTTCTGATAAGAATAAAATAATAAATATTTCCACTTCTACATTCTAGATAATAGTTTAGCTTTAATATTTAAATTTAAATTCAGAGTATTAATCAATAAAAACTTTAAAGTTTGCAAAATAGCATAAAATGAGACAGAGTTTAACATTGAATGACATTTTAGCAAGTAAGTCAGACTGCACATCTAACAATGGAACTAACTTCTCCTTGTATCTGAGAGAGTAAAGTCCAACTGCCACGCTATCTAAAAAAATCATTATCAAGGCTACTTCGAGAAAGTCAGATCTTGACTCAGCATTAAACTTTTAATGTGAAGAGGTTAAAGCCTTAGATGTCACAAAAGATGGGGAGGAGTTTGACCAATACTAAACATTTACCCCTAACTCAAAGAATCAAGAGTCTATATGCTAGCTCCCTTGGGATGTATCTATGAAATTTTCAGCAGGTAGTTTCAATTCAAAACACTCAGATATAATGCCAACAGAAAAAGTCGAGGAAAGCAAGAAAGTTCAATTCAAAGTAGAGAACTAAGAAGAAGAGATAAAGGTCAAATAAAATTAACTAGATAGACCATCAACTACTTATTCAGATATCCTATAAGAAAAATCCCCGCAGATTCATAGATCTTTTAAAAACCCAGGAGGATATCACTTATCAGATGAACTCTACTAAAGAATGGCACATGAATTTAGATGTCCAATTTGCAAAGACATCCCAGAAAAGGTATGGTTTCTAGCATGTGCTCATTTCTTCTGTGAGGGATGTCTATAGAGACAAGTGAATAGGCAGAAGACTGACACCGAGTTTCCAAGATGTGCTGAGTGTAACTAAGAGTTTTCCTATAGAAACAAAAAGAAAAACCAGAAGTTTGAAAAGCTACTTGAGCTGTTCAAAGAGATCAGAAGTGATAATAACATTATGACTCAAATTCCACAAATGGAATAGTTTATGTTTGATCCCTTTAAAGCTGCAGAAAAGCTAAAATCGAGTAGACTCCAGATGTTAAAAACTCTTAATCCCAGAAATGAAGTAGATCCTTAGAATGATAAAAATGAAATATAATAAAATGAGAATTAAAAGCAAGAAAAGAATGTGAAGCCAGCAAAAAGAAAATCTGATTAAAGCGATTAGAATTAGACTTAGAAAAAGAATAACCAAAGAGTTCAATCAATGCCATCGAAGCAAGCAGTTTAGTAAAAGCTGAGCTTTTCGACAGTGGCAAAAAGGCGAGACTCAACAGAGATTAGAAATATGAGTGGCAATAAAGCTGGTAACAATAAATCAACTAGAAGAAATAGTTAAGTGAATCAGAATAATAAGATTAAAAATGAAAGAAAAGACCAGTAGCCTTTGAACTAGGTAGACGAAGATGAATTCGATGATGAAAATGAAATCGAATTACCAATTAGAAGAGATGTAAACTAAAATGATAGAGGTGAGCATGAGGAGATTAAAGTACAGAAGAAAAGGGGAAGGCCGCCTAGTAAAATTGTTGTTGACAAAGATAGAAATAATAAGATAAATAATACTAATACTGGTACTGCAGGAAAGGAAAAGAAAAACAGGATCAGTACCACATAGTAAAATAGTGGATAACTTTAAAATCAAAGAAGAGTTACAGGGACATTCATTGAGAAAAGATAGTCACTTGAAGAGGGTAAGGGAACTGATGCATTCAGCAATCAAAATAACACTACAGTTAATAGAAACAATAAAAAGAGAAAGATTCAAGAGATCGAACCAGTTGACGAAGTTAAATAGGTCTTAAAGAAAAGAAAAATTAATACCGTAAATAATCATCCTCAACCAGTCAGAAATGTAAAAGTTGAGAAATTTCCTCCTCTGGATGTTTACACTAGTCAGCTTCCTTAGGAATATCATGTAAAATTATCATAATCATATCAACTAATATAGAACAAGCTACTCACTATAATGCAGAAATTCAAACATATCAAGTTCATTGACAGGGCTTAGTTCAGTTAAGCAATCATTTAGAATCCAACCCAGAAAATTTTAGTAGTTTAGAGCTGTGAAGTCTTGCTCTCCTATCCTAAAGTCATTCAAGCATTAGCTTATGGAGTATGGATTTAGATTTTCAATAATTTTATAGATTCCAATAGTCTCTTGTGCATGGATAAACCAGATGCTAAATGTTAACAATGAGCAGTAATTAGCTCAATTTCAAGATAAATTTAGCTTTATGAATTATGCTAAGAAGCAGCACCCTGATATATCAAAGCTGTTCCATGGGTTTCACTTCACTTTGCACACCGAATTAGATAAGGACAAGAAAGAATTACTGACTAATGTGCTCAATAGATGTGGAGGAGTGACTTCTAGAGGCACAGTAAAGCGAAATGGTCCGAATCAATTCATAATGGTTCACGTTGGATTGAAAGGCAACAATCTGACCCAGGAGGAGTATGATAAATAGTAAGCTGACTTCTAGATTTCAAACGAGTTTCCACAACAATTCAAAGTCAACAGCCAGTGGATTAGTTAGTGTATTATCCGCGGGCATACTCTTCAGCATAATGACGTGTTCTTCCAAGCGAAATGAGATGCTACTCTATTGATTTTAGTAAAAATTTTATGCGAAAATTGATTTAATTATTTGATTTCATAATTCCAATAAAATTCTCTAATCTTGCTAGAGGGGGTTTTGGGGTTTTGGGG